CTGGCTTTGGTGACTTTTATCACCTGGAATGCTCCTTCTCTGCCTCATCTCATCCTCCACCCCAAGCTCCAGCCTCTCTGGAACTTGCCAATTTGGTCCTCCTTCGAGGCATTTTCTCTGGTTATTTGCTTTGCCTGAACTTCTTTCTCTACTCTTCTTACGACTGACTCCTTATTTCATTCAAATCTCAAGTTAACCTCACCTTCTCAAAGACCTTCCATGGCCATCCAATCTAAACAGTACTGTCTCTGTCTGTTGATCTTGCCAATTTAATCCTCGGTATAGCACTTACACTATCTGATACTTGTGCAATATTGTTGTCTCCACAGCACAGCCTCCTCACGCCATTCCAACTAGAAAGTAGCTTTGTGAAAGTAGAAATAATGAATGTATTGTTCACTGATGTAACCTTAGCACGTGGAACAGTGCCTGAAATATGGTGGATTCTCAACAACATTTGCTGAATGAATTAGGAATGAATGACTGCCATGGATAAATTCATCATGATATAGAAATGAAGAAGAAAGGGAAAGATGGAGAGATGGTGATGAGAGCATGAAAGTAGGGGATCCAGAGAGACTATCAAGCAGTCAAGCAGTTCCTGCACAGCAGGGCTACTGAAGCTGCCAGGTCAACTAGGTATACTTCTGTATGGTTAGTTGGTAAGGAGACAAAGAGAACAAACAAATTTAGACAAATTATTACCCAAGACACAGCAGGCAGCATGAGCCTCATGTTTGCATTGAGTCCCCTCTCTCCCAAGTCCCATGAGTGTGAAGTGGAGGCAGGCCCAGGTGAAGGTTACACCCACAGTAGATCTGTATCACACTTGAGGAACTCCAAGACTAGGAGATCCTGGTCTTACATAGATAGGGGCTGAGTGCAGACTTGGTCCTCCTCCTCTCTAGAGAGAAACATCATCTTTATTACTCTGGAATTTCTCCAAGGAAAGATGTTTCTAAATCTCTCCAGAAGGAGTCATTGTCTTTCTATTGCCAAGGCTGTCTGTTATGTAAACTTCCTTGAACAAAGCTCTCAATATCCTTTGCTCAGAAGATGTGCATAAACACCAGACCATAGAGCATTAGCTCCCGACAGAGGGGTCCTGTGACCTGATTTGTGGCAGGGCCTCTAAGAGGCAGAAAATTTCAAGACATATTTGGGAGAACCGAGAGAAGAGGGGATCTTCACCCTGTTTCCTAGGGAACAGTACCAGGAAGGCACAAAAAACCAGAGAGTTTAGAGCTGCACAGAGTGTTAGAAACTATGAAATCAAAGACAGCCTTGCAAAGGTGTCCCTGTAATGGCACCAGACTGAGGTCACAACGTTATTCCCAGGCTCTCACGTGTTTCCCGGAAATAGTGGAATACCAAACACATCGGAAGACTCCAGGTAGACAAGAACAGATGATGCTTCAGTGGTGCCTTAAAAGGACCTTAAAGGGCCAGATGGGATGCTCACCCCCTGGGACAAATGAGTGAAGGTCAGATGCACCCTTTAGTACCTTCATTCTGTGGATGATCCCAAGGAGATCCTAGAGGGGACATCTTTTCTTTGATCACTTTAATTACAAACAAGGATTTTAATCTGCTATTTTTTCAAAGTCTGTTATTGTAATGTCAGTCTCTGGATCAAGGCCTGGAGGCTGTTGTGGGGATGCTGGCTCAGCAGCTTGTCAGCAGTGGTTCCACTGTAGTCACCAGCTCTAAGGCTTCCATCTTGTTCTGTCACCTTAGCTACCACTGTTCACATCTCTGTCTCAGTAATTTATTTTTATTATATCTTATAAAAGTCTCCATATGGAATGGATTGAAAACAAAATTGAAAAGAAAAAAAAATAGGTTCTTCATCACAGACAGTGTGAGAAGTCTTGATGTGGTTCAGAGCTATCCAGCAGAACTTTCTGCAATAATGGAAATGTTCCATTCCTTCACTGACCAAACAGTAGCCACCAGCCACATGTAGCTATTGAGCACTTGGACTATGGTTATTTTAACTGAGGGCCTCAATTTTTCATCTTATTTAATTTGAAGTAAATTTAAATAGCCACATATGACTAGTGGCTACAGTATTGGACAGTTCAGGTCTAGAGCATAGGCAATAAGCTGAGACGCAGGCTCCACTGTTGGCTAGGTCTATATTACCGTAGACCTAGCCACCATAAAAGCGTCTATTACTGTATCATAAAATGAAGATAAAGTTAGAATCAATCATGTAAAGGACTTATGAGGCTTAATGAAATAATCCACGTTAGGTGCTTAGCACTTGCCTGGCATACAGTTAGCACCTGGTAAATATTAGATGAGGATGTAGGAAATAACTGTGATGATGATCATGATGTCAACAGAAGTAATCCATTATCAATCTATAAATCAAAATTCGGGTGTGTTTATTATGAGCCAGGTCTGGGGACTATAGCCCAGGGCCTTCCTTCCCCAAGGAAGGAAGGGCACCAAAGAAGTGGGGTGTACAGAGTGGTTATATACCATTTTGGAACAAAGAGCATACATCATATATGACAGGAATATCTCTTTCACTACTGTCACGAGATGCTTAGCTGGCACAGCAGGTCAGTGGTCACAAGCTAGGCACAGCAGGTTGTTAATTAATTCTTAGTTTCCAGGAAGAGATGCTTATCCTTAAAGAAATGCCAATATGGGGGAAGTCCCATCTCTATCTTTAAGAGCATGATTCTTGTCTTTGGGACATTGTAAATGTTTAAAGTACATATACAATGTATGCTCAACAGGCCATGTCAGGCCTTTCTGGAAAAAAAGATCAGGCTGAATTAGTTTTAAACCAAATGGCTTCCTCATATACTCCAATATATCCTATTGCTTGTCATTCATTCATCAGTGATGATGATTAGAAATAGAGTTCTAGAGGCCCTGTGGAAGGGTTTGGGGAGATGGGTAACTTGCCGTAAGATGAGAAAAGGGATGAGCCAAGCAGCACTGGGTGATGTAGGAAGGAGAGACCTTGTCCCTGGCAGTGTCTGGGATTACAAGGCTGTGAGGGGTGATGGGTCTGGTCCTGATGGCCTCTTGAGGGCATGGGATGCTCGGGTACCGATGACAGCTCTGATATCACAGGCTATTGGAACAGTTGCATACAGTGCACACAGCAGGGGCAATGCTCTCTGGCTGTGTCCCTATCACTTAGCCCAAGTCAAAACATATGCATCTTTGACATATTTATCAAATAATCTGGATCAAAGCACACATTTTCCTAAATTACCTGGAGATTTATATCAAAACATTCTTGAGGTATATGTATATATCAGTCTGGGTCCAACCAGGAGATGCAAACCAAGAAAGTGGGACTGCATCCACTGGATGGCAGTGAATTTTGCTGGGTTTCCCAGGCCAGAGCTGGTCCATAGTCAATGGACCAATGGGAACATCTCTCTGGGGCACAGGCAAACTGAAGCCAGTGGGTGGGCAGTTGTGAGGCCCAGAGCACACAGGGTCCATGTCAAAAGGGCCACAGGAAAGAAACCTCCAGGATGCAGGCAAGCTGAGGCTGACAGGGGCATGCAGAGAGAGTCAGTGTCCATGTGGGTACACTGGAAAGGCTGCCTCTGCAGGACTCCAGCACATTTCTGTGTACAACGTGGGCCTGGCAGTTCTGGGCCCCTCCAAGGGATGAAGGTCAGGCAGCCAGCCTCAGTGTGCCCATGTGTGGGGCTAGGAAGAGGGTGCAAGGAGCAGCAGCCTGGGCGGGGCCCGTCCCGTGCCACCTGCAGTTCCTGCCTGTGCAGGCGCTGCCCGTGTCAAGAGCTGCAGAAATGCTCACTAGAGCAAAATGCTGGAGAGAGCTGCGCCACGCATGCACTGAACACTGAGAGATCACACTGCTAAGCAGGAAAGAAAAGAAGCTTGCTCTCCAGGAGCCTGGCAAATGAGCCTTGAAATCCAGAATGGAAAACCCCTTCTTTCTGCAATGTCTCTGCAGTGCCTCTACTGACATCGAACTAGCTGGCAAAGGAGAACTAGTGAAGATGCCTATCTCCATTTTCACAGATCAGGTGATGAAGGGTGGATTTGGAACTGAGTCAATTAATTGATACCTGGGAAAACATAGCCTATGCCACCCACCCCACCAGCCCCACCCACTGTGACAATCATAAAACATTTCCTGAGGCCTTATCTGTGATCCATGAAAAGAATTGTTTTCAAGGACAGGAGAAGTCTTCTTGGTAAATCATCCCTTCTACGTGTGAAATGATTGTTTCAGTCATCATCTTGCCATTAGTAAGCTCTCAGTAGAGCAGACTGAGCTAAAGCCACACAAGCAAGAAGATGGCCTTATAAATGTTTCTGCTGCTGGGCAGCCTGCTTCAGAAATTCAGTGGACTCAACGTACCCCAGGTCAGAATTTACCCTGTAGTGGACCACAGCAACCCAAGACTAAATGCCTTAGGAACTGAGGGTTAATTATTCTTTCTGTGTGATGTAAAGAGTAACTACAGAGTTAGTAGTGGTATGGAAAATACTGTAAAATCTTTGAAATCAATAAAACTAAGCAGTTTATAAAACATTGCCATTTATATTTGAGCTTATTCTTGCGTGTTTTCTTTTTCTTTAAATAAGTAAAACGAATATCACATTTTCTGAAAAGTAAAGAGAATCCAATAAATAAATAAATAGCATTGCCATCATAACTCATAAAAATATTTTGGAATAAAATTGCACTATGAATATTCATAGAAGTTGTTATTCTTGGATCTTTAGCAACATTAAATATGTAATATAATTATACCACTATTTCCTTCTCTAATATTTCTCCCTGCTTCATTTCTAAATCATCAATTTTTCCACATTTTCCTCTTCAGTTATTTAAGTAGTACAGTAAGTTTGTTTTCAGCTAGTTTTTTTGTTTTATTTTGTTTTGTTTTGTGAGGAAGATCAGCCCTGAGCTAACATCCATGCCAATCCTCCTCTTTTTGCTGAGGAAGGCTGGCCCTGAGCTAACATCTATTGCCAAGCCTCCTCCTTTTTTCCCCATTTTCTCCCCAAGGCCCCAGTAGATAGTTGTATGTCATAGTTGCACATCCTTCTAGTTGCTATATGTGGGACACCACCTCAGCATGGCCGGACAAGCGGTGTGTTGGTGTGCGCCCGGGTGCTGAACCCGGGCCTCCAGTAGTGGAGCACACGCACTTAACTGCTAAGCCACAAGGCCACCCCGCCCACAGCTAGTTTTAATTAAAATATTATCTATGAGTACTCTCAAGCCAGATTGTCATCATCAAAACAAAGGAAAGAACTGAGGCAATTTTGGAGAAAACTGAGTGCCAAATAAAATTGCTTAAATAAATGCTTTAACTTTCCTATTTTTCTTCAACTAACCTTAAAATACATGGGTGATTATTTTATGTAAGGATGTAAAATCCCAGTAAAGAGCTGAGGGAGACCGGGGAGGAGGCCCCAGGTCCGCTGCACATTCTCCTCCTCTAGGCGGGTTTGTTCAGCACCTGTGCGCCCCACACCGCCCTACTCACTCCAGAAACAGGCACACAGCACCCCTGCCGTACACAGCCTGCTTTCCAGAGGGGGAGACTGCTGACACATATGTATAGGATCAGTGAGTACCTTCGGGGAATCACGTGATGGGTAAAGAGAAGCTGCACAGGAGGGCAGGGTAAGGACTGGCCCTGGGGTGTGTAGGGGGTGGGGGAGTCTCTCGATGACACCCGCCCAGGGACCTGAATGACTGAACTACAAGATGTCCCAAGACAACAGGAAATGCGAACGCCCCAGGGTGGGAGGGCTTAGGGTCATGTGGTGGGCTCTCGGTGGGGAGAAGAGAACATTCAGGATGAGGGTAGGGAGGTAGACCTAGGGTCCTGCTCTGGCCAACTCCAGCTATGCCTGACGGATGCCAAAGGAAGGTCCCCACCCTGTGGCCATCCTTCTAGAATACGCTCTGGTCCCTGGACTTGGGAATTTCTGATCCAAACAGTCCAAGCCTGCTTCTAGAGCCTTTACAGATCTCTTCTCTTTTCTGTCCCAAGCACCAAGTGGGACAGGCGCGGCAGCAATGTGGATGGAGTCTGAATACGCAGACTGGCTGCGAGGCTGTCCATGCCGCTCCCTGCCAAGGGCAGAGCTGGGGCTGTGGGAGCCTTCCCTGCACTCCTGCCCTCCACCCCCTGCCAATGTGAGTGCAGGCATGGGGGGCCTGATCTCTTAGGACCTTGCAGGAGGGCCAGGAGTATGCCTGTACCCCTAGGGCAGTGGGAAGCTATTGTATGTTTTCAGCAAGAAGCCATGTGCTTACCTTGACTTTGACCTTATAAATTCACTCTGCAAACATGGATTGAGTGCCTGGAGGCAGGAAGCACTGGAAACACAGCAGTGAGTGAGAGAAGCACACCCCAGGGCCCCCAAAGTTTACCACCCAGCAGGGAAGATAGACTTGAAAAAATAATTACAAGTGAGGTACTCGCTGCAGAGGAGAGAATGGGTTGCACTGAAGCTCAGATGTCTAACTTAGTTTGGATATTGAGATGGGGTTAAGGGTGAGGGGAGACGGAGTCAAGGTGGGACGTGGACACTGAAACAGAGTTAATTATGAGGGCAGGACATTCTAGGTCTAGACACTGCCTAGGAGCAGAAAGAACCTGGAGATTTCCAGAAACTAAAAAAAAAAACCCTCAGGCAGAAAAGTGGAGAGTAAAATAAAGGAAGCATGATCATGTGACATTGAAAATACATGTTAGGACCAAATCATACAACCCCTGTAGAACATACAGACAGACAGATTCCATTTTATTCTAAGGGCAATTGGAAGATATTATAAAAGGGTTTAAACCCAAGAGTAACATGATCAATTTGCATTTTAAAAAGGTCACTGACTACAGTGTGGAAACAGGTTGGAAGGAGATAAAAGCAGATGCAGAAAGACGGGTTAGAAAGCTGTACATGGGAGGTAAAGATAGGGTGACTTACATAGAGTCTTGGAAGGAGGGAGGGAGGGAAGTAAAGGTCTCAGCGCTGCGCCCAGACCTAACAGACATTCCATAAATATGTGCTGAATGCTCTGACCCTCCCCACCATGTGAGAGCAGGCGTTATAGCCCAGTTTACAATTGAGGAAACAGATTTCAAGAGGCTGAGCACAGCGTCCAGGGTCGCAGAGCTGGTGACCCCAAAGGCCAGGGTCTGAGAAGATGCGTGAGCTGTGCTTGTCCCACAAGGACGCCCTGGTGCTGCCCTCAGGTGTGAATGTGGACAGGAGGATGACGACAGGAGCTAAGCTGTCTGAGGGCTCCGTATTTGCCAGGCACAGGGCACTGGGCATGTATGAGATTCTGCACACAGCCGGCTTGCCCATGAGAACTCAAGCATAGAGAACCTCTGCCCGAGAACACAGGGCTAGTGAGGGCTGCAAGCGGGAATTCACGAGTGAGCTCCAGCCTGGGGGTCCTGCTCCAACCACTCTGCAATACTGCCACCTGCTGTCCTCAACAAACTGAACACCAACCAACACTGCTGGGCTGTATGAACAGCACACGTGGCCTGCAGGTGGGGATGAGAGCCTTTTCTGTGAAAAAGGCTGTACTTGAACTGGATTGGAGGATGGGGGTGATCGGCAGGTAGCGAGGAGGGAATTGAGGAAAGAAATCAAACACAAGACCCGTTCAATCTGCAGACTGCACAGGGCAATGAGAGGTTTCACATCTTCCCACTTATCAGCGTGCGTGTGAGCAAAAAGGGGCAGCCCTCCCACCCAAATGAGATCTGCTGGTCAGCTGCGCTGAGTCTTTGGTCTGTCTAAGCCTGTGACCAAGATTGTGACACATCTGCCATGACTGTCAACTGCAGTCCATCTACCTGTTCACTTAGGCTGATTTCTGACACAGAAAAGTCCAAAATCTCAGTGACTTCAAACAACATGTTTATTTCTCACTCGTACTCATCCATAGCAGGTCATGGAACACTCTAAGAAATGATTTAGGGACGTAGACTCCTTCTATTTTTTTTTTTTCCACCTTCAAAATGTGGCTTCCAAGTTCACCACCTAAGGGAAAAAGGAATGATCAAGGGTGAGGGAGAGATTGTGTGGGCTGTGCCATTAACCAGCAGTGACATAGCCCCACTAGTGCAAAGATGTTGGGAGGCATGTTTAGCTGTGTGCCCAGGAAGAAGACAAAAGAGATATTGTGGAACGCTAGCTGACTTAACCAGACCTTTCAGGCTCCTGAACATTCTTCCCATGCATAGAAGACTCTCAGGTCCTCCCCAGGGAGGCTGCCAGAGGGCCACCAGTTGCTGCATCCAAATCAAGGGCCGAGGCCTCTGGACAGTTCCACTCCAACAGGCCCTATGTGCCTGTTCTTGGTGCCACAACCTAGAAACTAGAGAGACAAGTGATCGCTTTCCTCCCACTCAATATACAAGGACAGGATAATTGCAATAAACACTGCCATTTGGAAAAAGAACAAAGGTACCAGTCACTGATCCACAAGGACACTTGGGCCTTGCAGGACAGGCATTGTCAGGCCCCTGTGCTTGGTTTTGGGGGGATAGACTCTGGATAGACTCCGGTGCTTCTCTCTGGTCTGTTTTTCTCAGAGAACCCTGGATCTTCCGTCTGGGAGTCCTTCCTTTTTTCACTAGGCTCCATCATCTGAACTGGGTGTTGGGAGTATTCCTTCATAGGACCTACATAGCTTTGGATCCCACTTTCTGCCCATGACCCAGTCAAAGACTTTTTAGATTAGGTTTGTAGTTTCTTTGGCAATATAATTCCTTCAAAAACTTAGAAGGCTTCTGATCCATTTGCTTCCAAACAGTTCCATATGGCTGTAACCACACCCAAAGCATTTTCATATGCAAAGTTTGCAAATTTCCTTTTTTTTTCTTTCTCATGCCCTTGCCTATATCAGCTTAATAGTGGAAAAACAACTCCTTAATCTGATCACCATTCAGCTGAGTCATAATATGTCTTTGTAGCTCAAAGACTTTATTTCAATATCTTATTTCCTACTGTTTGTGTTCCAGAAGCAGTGGGAATTTTCAACCCTTCACAGCCCCAATTTCTGGATTTTCTGCTTGCAAACTAGCCAATTTTATCTTGAGTTTTTCTTTTTTTTTAATAGCATGCCAACACAGCCAATTGTAGCAAACACACATTAATACTTTGATCTTTTCCCAACCACTTTTGCTGGAGTTGCCAAATCACGAGGCTCACAATCTACCTCCCAAGATATTGCAGGTAAAAACTTTACTCAATATTTCCACTATATTACTTAGATCACCATCTTCGTTGCCACCTGACTCTAAGGTGATGTCAGACATCAGATTTTTGTTTCTACAGTCTTTCAAAGTATCAATTTTTTATATTAGTCCTAATAGTTTAATTGCTGTACCAATTCTCAAATTTCAGTGGCTTAACACAATAAATGTTTCTTTCTTCTTCACATCACAGCCCAATCAGAGTTGGCTGGTTTTCCTCCAAGCAGTGACTCAAGGACCCAGGCTCCTTCTATCTCTGGCATCTCCATATGCGACATGCAGCCTCCAAGCTTGCCACTGGAGGAGAGGAGCTTGATATGTGCAGCCTGGAAGTGCTGACATCACACCTTCCACTTCCATTGGCCAGAACACAGTCAACTCCCAATTCACTGCAAGGGCGCTGAGACATCATTTATCTGTGTTTCTGGGAAGATGAAAAAGCAGATACGGGAGAGCTCTGGCAATCTTGGCCACGCTGTTTATAATAATCACAAATGGGTTCCTTTAGTCCCATGCCTCTAGAATCTTACAGGTGATATATAATAAAGTGAATAAAATTAAGTTGGGAATGAGAATTTTGTACTCTCAAGAAGCCATTCAGATTTCAAGAAAAGTACTTGTCAACAGTACTGGTAGAATATTGTCGATGCATTTGTGTGTTGCAAGGCAAGCAGGGGGAGGGGTGGTTACACTGAGGAATCTTTCTGATGCTCGTACATCATTAACAACAGTCATAACATGTTCGTTGTTCATATTACAAACCTTTCCCAAGTGTCTGCTAAATGCTAGGTACCAAGCAAGCAAAGGGAGCTGAGAATGCCATGGTGGACAAATTGTTTCAGTCTCCGCTCTTGTGGTATTTACATTCTAACATAGGAGAGACAGATACACAAATAATCACCCACTTAAAGAATAATTGATTAACTTAATAAATGATATGCATAAAAAATACAGGACAATGTAAGAAAGCAAAATGACAGACATAGCTTGGGAGTCAATAGAGGTTCTAAAGTATTAAGCTGGGACCTGAAAGATTAGGAGTTAGCAGGATGAAGAGATGGGGAAGAAATATCAAGGTTTCTGGCTTTTATGATTAGGCAGGGGATGGTGCCACCCTGAGATAGGGAAAACTGTGTTTGCATCTAGTAGCCTTGGATGGGAACATCATAGTTTCATTTCAGGATACACTGAGTCTAACCCTTGAGACCTCCAAGTGGAGATGTCAAATAGGCAATTGATATTCAAGCAAAAAGCTCATTCAAGAGGTCTGGAGTGGTCCTATAACCTTAGAGATGTTTTATTGATACTCTATTCTATCCTCAAAGATGTGCCTCACCACCCATTTCTTGAATTCATCATCCATGAGGAAACTGCCAATAGTCCCAATGGTCACCTACCCAACATTCAGCCCCTGTCATCACAGGGCTATATAACTCTGGGAGGATTAATTTTAAATGGGAGCATTCTCATTGGCAGACCAAAGATTTCGTTAAATAATGAATCAGTAACACACAAGTAAGAAAGGCTTCCCATTTTTAAGAATCACTTCTCAGATCAAGATGGAAGACAGCAACAGCACTACAAGAAGCAACCACAACAAGCAATTGGCCATTGTAGGAGGCAGGATTCAATAATAATAACAAGAAAATGTTCAGCAAGGGAAGAAGGCAAGGCAAAGTGACTTATTTTTCTATTTTTCTTTTGCCTGGTTTATTCAGTGCCTTAGGCAGTAAGCACTGATCTAAAATTCAGCTCTGCATTGTTTTAAACACATATCTTTGCATAAGAAATGAATGTTCATTATAGGTTCTGAATACGAATAGATCAGTAGGAGTGCCTTTATTTTAACTTGCTTGATGATGACTTTACTAAAGCTTAGGATATAGTGTCTCTGAAAACCTTAGAAAATGGTTTGAAATGACGCTTCAGATGAATACAAATATATGAACAGAAAACTGGTTGAAGATCATCATACAAAGAGCCAGCACAAGCAGCAACAATTAAGAATAGGCATCTATTTTAATTTCTCAGGCATGTGTTGATGAGGAGAGTTAGAACTGTTTTAATTGCTAATCTCGCAAAGCAAGGAACCACCATGTTAACTAAATTCACTGATGATAGAAAAGGTGGGGGTCCTTAATTACTTCTAATGGCAGAACAATTTTCTTTAAAAGCTAGCTGTACAAATAAGAACTGGAATTCACCAAGAGAACCCTGTTCTTAGAGAATGCACATGTGTGCATGCACACACACACACACACACACACACACACACAGAGAAAGCCAAACTCCGCCAGTGCATAGATCACAGGCTGTACATTTTTAAGTTATTTAAAAAGGTCCAGGGGCCGGCCCAGTGGCGCGGATGGTTAAGTGCACACTCTGCTGTGGCGGCCCAGGGTTCACGAGTTCGGATCCGAGGCACGCACCGATGCACCACTTGTCGAGCCATGCTGTGGTGGTGGCCCATATGAAGTAGAGGAAGATGGGCACGGATGTTAACCCAGGGCCAGTCTTCCTCAGCAAAAAGAGAAGGATTGGCTGATGTTAGCTCAGGGCCGATCTTCCTCACAAAAAATAAATAAATAAATAAAAATAAAAACATGCAGTAACTATTGAAGAATGGCATCTCTGAACAAAGATGTACCAGGCATCTGCCGTACATATAAAGCAGTGGCTTGAATAATGAAAGAAATTAAATAAATGTATCTCTTCAACTATATTTTTGGACCATGCATGTTTCTATACAGACTGTATATCAATCATTAGAGACCAAGTTCACTTTTCTGCAGCACCTCATTAAGGTAGCATCAAAAAAAACCTTAAGGGGGGCTGGCCCCGTGGGGTAGAGGTTAAGTGCGTGTGCTCTGCTGCTGGCGGCCTCGGTTCAGATCCCGGGTGCCCATTGATGTACCGCTTGACAGGCCATGCTGTGGCAGCATCCCATGTAAAGTGGAGGAAGATGGGCACAGATGTTAGCCCAGGGCCAGTCTTCCTCAGCAAAAAGAGGAGGATTGGCATGGATGTTAGCTCAGGGCTGATCTTCCTCACAAAAAAAAAAAAAAAAAAAAAAAAAAACCTTAAGGGGACGAAGATTTGAGTGTATCATTTTATTGACTGAAAATGCTTTAGATGCCCTGGCATATAATAAAGTACACATCTCCAGGGAGATTCTGAGTTTTGTCTTTATAAATGAAGATGGAAAGGTAAATAAAATAAAGTTACAAGGATTATATAATTTAGACTTTGATCAGGAAAACGTCTGGTTCTCCAGACCCCACACTGGAAATATCAGAATTATTAAAATCTAGAGATGGAGCAGGCAGGCATCCAGCAAGACCTGTAAGCAAGACTGCCACAGAGGTGAAAGGAGGTGGAGGTGTGGTTCTTGGCGATTAAGGCTCCCACCACATTCCTTGGGGAGTATAGATTTTCTGTAAGTGCTGTGTCCAAAATAGTGGCTGGGACGGAGGGCACAACTAGCCCCAAACAGAGAACCCAGCATGACTATGAGAACCAGCCACTACTCATGGCTTAAAATGAAAACTGTTTTGTTGGTGGTCTCCCTCCTAGAGGTCAAGGGGCTTACCTGGAAGCAGCAAATATCAAAAAAAGCAACATAGAACACCTACTCAACAGTCAAGATCCACAAATTTGTATCTTCTAGCTCATACATTTGTTCTTTGTTCTTATCAAAATAGTGGAAACAACACAAAACCCTACTGTTTTTACTTCATCTTCTGACTAATGAATATTCTACCAACACTTTCTTCCATCAGCTTGCTCATAAGGAAGAACTGAAGGAAGAGGAACTAGGGGTGCCCTATTTTTTCCATTTCCTTCTATGTTATCATTTTCAGCATATGTGGTTGGCTAATATCGGAAAGTAACAAGAGCAAGAAAGGTTCCCTGATTGTTCATATTTCTTAGAATGCAAGTTCTAGTTCAGACAGAAAGTGTGACCTCTCGGGGCTGTCAGCACCCTGCTTTCTTGGACATAGAGGTAACACCTTGCCTTGTAACTCACTGTGAGTCCCGATGAAGTCCCAGCATGGCGGATCCACAGGAATTCTGTGCTCACGGGGAATCTGAATGCTATATGCAATTAGGGGACAAAGGAATGGCAGGCACACAAATTGTGCATATCTCTTCTCACAAGCAAGCTCTACTGTCCCATCAGACTTCACCTATAAGTAATACAAATTCAGAGATACAATGTTTAAAAATTTCAAGATGGCGGCAGTAGAGCATTCAAGACCCTTTCGAGAGTGGGGTGCTTCTCAGGGTGAGGCCCTTTGCCACTACACAGTTTGCACACCCATGAAGCACCCCTCTGGGGAAGGACTGATAATGACACCTTGCATCTTGAGAGGTAGGGTCCCTATAAGCCAAATGCTACCCGTCAGAACAGAATAATGTCTCTTAAGAATTTCCACCAACTGTTGGAGTTTTTCAGGGTTTTTATCTGCCCAATATGCCAAAGAACCAGGCTGTAGAGTAGGAAAAGATTGCACCTCAGCAATAATAACAGCTACTCCTTGTTTAGCCCTTATCAAACGTGTGCTCCACACTAAAATCTGTGCTGAGGGAATGCTGTCCCTCAACCTGCCCTGCAGTCCCGACTTGTGAAGGTAGTTCATCCAAGCCTCTTAGCAACTGTTCAGACTGGATAGATCTTCGCGTACAGGAATGACTACATGGGTAAAAAAAATCAGGACACGAAACTCTATCTGCAGAATGATCCAGTTTTATAAAGCACTGGAGTGAAAATCCCTGTGCCTTAGCAATGTCTATCTCTGGGTAACTGAATTTAAAACTATATAATTTTTATTTCATTTTACAAATTTTCCACATGGAGTTTGCAATTGTTATAACAAGGGGGAAAATGTTGCTACTTTTTTGAAGAGGCATAAAGCTTTCTGACATATGAGCACTGTCTCTTCCCCTCTCAAGACTTTGTATCGCTCTTGCTGTGAATTAGAACAGCAGCGTTCAATAAAAGAACAAAAATCAGGTCCACTTGGAGGGCAACTTCCCTTTTTTGGGTCCTGGCAAGTCAGCTGGCAATGATAAAATATGTTCAAGTGTAAAGAAGATTAGAAAACAACACCTTTCTTGCAAAGAGAAGCTGGAATTAAACATAAAACACAACCAAACTGGAGGAGGTGACAATCACAAAAAAAAAAAAAAAAAACACAAACACATGAACAAGCAGCTCATTCAGCCTCTCCGGCGGGTGTAGGAGGAACTCAGTAAGTGTGTATGAAATTGCATTAAGGGCTTTCTTGTTTTCTCTCTGTCTGCATTTGGTTAGTTACACAGGTTTTACTTAACATTTTAGAGTTGAAACAGAAAGAAATTTTGTTTGCTTATTTGTTTTCCCAGATCTGTACCTTTAAGATTTATACTTTGTATATAATTCGAAAAATTTGATATCTCTTTGAAATACATGTATGCACATCTTTAGCAAAATACACCAGAGAATCAAAAATATCAAATTACATAGCAAGTGAAGAAGTGGCAATGATTTCTTTACGAGCAATTGTTTTATTGCCAAAGATGGCTGCTCTGGTCACCTCACTGGTCCAGGAGCAGATTGAGTCATTAAAATGAGCACTGGAACTTTTAAATCTACCCTACCTGCTGCACTTCTCAAATCAAGGTCTTGTTCTTGAATTTTTATTTTTAAATTAAGCTTCCTCTCTTTGCAAAACCACCCAGCTATTCTGACCCAAAAGCCTACTGGAGGACAGGACAGGTGTGGCGAAGAGATCCAAAGGCTGGTGTCTCTCATGAGGTAGTTTACATTCATAAACCTCTTGATCTTTAGACAGAATCTACCCTCAATGAATAAAATCAAAAGGAGGAAGCCAGCAGTCACAGAGCGTTTTGGGCAAGCATATCAGGGAGCTAACTCAAAAACTCAAAAGTTAAAACATACAAAACAGGCCTGTCTCACCATAAACAAGGACATTATGGTAGAGACTGCTGCAAACTGCTGCTGCTTTCCTCGTCTTGAGCACACAGCTAGCCACAGTTCCCAGCCTCCCTCGCAGTGAAGAGTGGCCTTGGGGGCAAAGAGCAGGGTGTCTCTTCCAGGCTGGCCTGTGGAAGCCTTCCCCACACAATCCTCCAGGCCCGTTCCCCTTCTAGCAGCTCTGTGAGCACTCCCAGGTAACTGCACTAGGCGTCCAGAGAATGGCAGAGGCTCTACCAGCCGATTCTCTGAACAGCTGTGCCACAGAGACGCCTCCTTGGATCCTCTTGGAGGACACAGAACACAATTGCCTCTAAGCCGTTGTATATCTTGGGGACTATTCAGCATAATGATTAGCATTCCTTACTAATTGAGATCTTTACCCAGGAAGAATAGTTTAGGTTTGTTTGGTTATTCAGAATGTTTAATATACCAAATTTACTTTTTAGAAAATCACACAATGGAAGCAAAGAGTATGGAAATTTTATAGGGTCAGTAAAAAATTTAGCAATAAGTTATTGATATACTTTTTGACAGTGTTTTATAGCCCCAATTGTGGACTCAAGTTGAATGTACATACTGAGAGGTTTGCATTTGTGTAAATATACTTAAATACTATCATATAAAAGAGTTTTGTGGTGCTGGTGATGGTGATTTGACATGAGGCCAGTTCAGTTTTAGACCTATTTCAAACAGTCTTCACCTTAAATTTTATATATATCAAGTTTACCACATTTCATATTTGTTTTTAATGCTTTCTGCCTCTTTGGGGATTTCTGTCATTCTTTCATTTGTGACAGGAACAGGACTTTTTACCTGCACAAGTCTCCACCCTTTCCTCTCCCATTTCCCCTTGTCACACCTGCACTTTTGATCCACTGAACAGGGGTAAGTGCCAGCTAATTTCCAGGATCCTTTGTGATGTGGATTTTGAAAGAATGGGAGGCAGTAGCCTGAGAGGCTGGGGGAGGAGAAGCATATTTATGCACATATATATATTTTAATGTCATCGTTACTTTGATAATCCTACCTTGCACCCGAAGCCAAGCCATTGAGTTGAATGGGAAAGCATATTATCACACTGACCTCTCTCCTTTAAATTCATTACCACTGCCTCAGGTAAATCCTCAAACCACTCTTTCTTCCTCTCCTGGCTGACTACTCCTATTTTTTTTCTCTCTCTCTTCGTACCTCCCATACCTGCCTCCCATCATCTTTCTCAGCTAATCACCTGACTTTTTTCCACTGAGACAATAGAAGCAATTAAGGGAAGATATCCATAGCAGCCTTCCTCACACTTACCCTCTTCCTGAATCTGTGCCCGCAGAGTCCTTTTCTCCTCTCCAGTTACCGTGGATGAAATGTTGAGGCCAACATCTCAGCTTGTTCACTAGATCTCATTCCCTCTTGTTTACTCTCTCTCTGTGTCTCTCACTCCTCTGCATCAATTGTTTTTCCCACCTTGCTGGGTTGCTCTCATCATTTTGCAAACATTTTGTTACTTCTCCCAACAAAAGAAATCTTTCTTTTGACGCCACTGTGCACTCCACCTGCTGCCTGATTTCTCAGCTCCCCTTTATAGCAAATTTACCCAAGAGAGTTATCTCTACCAAATGCTTGTCATTTCCAATTTCTCTCCTCCCATTGTTACCACACAAATGGCATGATCTGCTCACTGCAAGACAAAAGCCAATTGCCAACAGGCAAGATGGTGGAAAAGAAAGGGCAGTTTATTACAGCTTGCTAGCAAGGGGGAAGATGGCTGACTAATGTCTCAAAGGACCACCTTCCAGAGGCACAAAATCTTACAGCAGTTATATAGGCCGCTGGGTTATAGGGGAAGGGGTTAAGAATGTTGACCCTCAGGTGTTACAGACTGGGAGACACCACACCAGATCTTTCAGTTTTCATTGATGATGGCTATCAACATAGACTCTCTGTTCAGGGGTCACCACATTCCTAAGGAACTCAAAAGAACAAAGTTATTACCTTATTGCATCTGGGAAGTATATGCACAAGCAGGAGTCATAAAATCTACAGAGCAGTTAGATCTCCTGGAGGGTGCATATCCAGCTGGGTTAGTTTGTCAGAGGTCATTCAAAGTTATAATAGGGTTTCTTTTCTACAATATGGCTTCCCTTATATCAACCTTGTCTTGAGCTGGTATCACCATTATCTCCAAAATCCACTCCAATCAGATTTTTGTCTTCCTGTCTTACACTAATGACCTCCACATGGCTATAGGTTTTATGTAAAACCTATAGAAATAGGCTCTATAGATTTTATGCAGTTGAGATTCTTCTCAAGTTCTGAAAACAAGCTTTCTGTCTCTTAATTTTCAGTGTGGTGAGTTTATGTATTTTAGTGGGAAATTAAGGGAGTTAGCCTCAGGAGCTACATCTTAAGAACTGTAGAGGAGGAAGACAATTTCTGTACCCTCTGGGTCCTTCTGGTTGGTCTAAGAATTAAATTGACATGAAACAATTTAATTGGGACTTCAAAGTTTGGGACTTCAAAGAGGAGGGAGGCAATTCACATGGAAATGGAAAAGCAAATGTTTGGTAAACAGAACCATTATAAGAATGGGCTTAGCAAGGACCCTCACAGTCTACCTGTACCCAGAATTATCTATGGCGATGGCCTGTCCTGGGGACAGGCCTTTTATCTTAAATTCTTTTAGGCAGTTAGGGGGAGAAGGTCTCTTGTCCTTAACCAAAGAGACCCATTTTGGGGTGGCCAATTCTGATCCCCCACAGTCCTGACTTTGAAACTTTAAGAAGTTTCATAGTCCAGAAGCTGAGTTGGTATATTGTTTTATCTCATTGAACCAGTCTCTTAGTTCTGACAACAGGTTAGTCCAGTTAAACTCATTTCAGGAGGCAGTGATGCACTTGGGTTCCCAAAGTTAGGCCTATATTGTGTAAACCAGCAATCAGGTATTTAATAAGTATTTCTATGGAAACAAAAAGAAAAACAAGGTTAATGGTTGGAGCAAATTATAAATCAGTTTCAGAGCCAGAGGACAGCCAGTCAAGAAGATTTCTAGATGTTAGGGTCAAAGCATCTTTTGTAGCTTGAAATGTCTCTGATGATGTCATCTGGTGTTCAGGCATCCTTTTGAGTGGCTTACATAGCAACAGGCATGCTATTGTGGTGATCTCTCTTAACTTTATATCAAGTTATCAAGTTTTAGTTTGCAAGGCTTCAGGAAAAAGGGTGGTTTTAGTTCTCAATGAGTCCAAATGAAAATCATTGAAAATGTTAGTTTAGAGATTTGTTGCCAGATATTTTAGAAGACTATAATAATTCAGGATCCAGTCCAGTTTATAGGTAGAAAACAAAAACCTCAAAGACAATTAACAGAACTAGAATCCAATGTCCACAATTGTTTATTATATTTTTTACTGAAACATAATTTTTTTCTGTAAAATCTCCCTCATTTTTACTACAGATCACCAAATTAAGACTTGTTGGTTGGCAAAATAAGTCTAGTTTCAATAAGTTTGGCCCATTTATTTACATAAGTACAGCAAGAATAGCAATTGATCATATAGGCTCTTTCAAATCTGTTTTGCTGGAACTTTTTACAAGGAATCTCAGATTGAGCTTTAAAGGCCTCTCAAGGCCAAGAAAGCAAAGCCAAGGACTTGTCATCAGACAAAGCTTGTAATACCTACAGATTTGCATGAATTCCTCTCTTCTTTTGAGGTTCCCCAAAATATTTCGAGGTTCCAGGCACCTGCCAGAGAAGTGACCCTCTTGACTCACCTGGTAAGGTTGATGGGAATCCTGTAAGCAAGGTACCAGGTCAATATTGTCAAGTGGCTGTATTTCAGAAAGTCTACCCTTTATTCCTCAAAAGCTGTGTGATCATATCTGACTCTATGTGTGTTTCTCTCAAATATGACATTCCAGTCAAAGCTTTGGTAATATAACCAATGTTTCCAATTGTGTCCTGTTATAAGGAGAACAGATGCTTATTGAACTTATGAGAATAATTATATTGCCATGAAAACAAGAATATTCTCTCACTAAAGAGCTTCTAAACTCTGGAGGGATCAGGTAGGGAGAAAAAGATAAAAGTTTCAATTTTGCTTACAAAGGTATAATTTACCAAATTGTTATAAGTCACAGCTTAAAAGAATAGAGAAAAAGTTTTCCTTAAATCTGAAAAAAAACAAAACATTAAAAAATTGGCAATATTTTAAACAAAAAGTCATAAAATTGTAATTATCCTTAGTTCATTTAGTGTCATGTAATCAACTCGATTTTGATCTTCTGTTAGCAGTTTCATGAAGTCATTAGTTTCTCCATTAGAGTTCTGTAATTTTTTTTTATCCAGTTCAGTTTTATGATCTGCAAGTTTGTCAGAAATCTGTATTCTAGAGTAAATGTCAGAGTCCTTTTCATGAATCTCTCTGAAGAGGAAACATTTTTGCAAAAGAATCAGTGTAATACAAAACTATCTGTAAATGATGAAAGACTTAAAAATAGCAATTGACAAAGAAACTTGGTTATTTCTGTGACATACAACACTAAAATATTTACTAGAATTATGAATGACAACCAACACAGATCAGAATTTTAGGAATGTTATATAATTTTTAAAACACTTATATCAATAACATTTACCCACACAATATCATAGGTCCCTATGAAACAATGTTTAATTATCCATTTATCCATGGTGAAAAAGAATTTTAGGTGAATGCAGAAAATTAAATAGTTGAAGGAAACCCTTTAACACGTGATTAAAGACCTGATAAAAACAATATAGGAAATTTATTTTGATAAAATGTAAAAACCTTTTATAATCTCTTTACCAAGAGCAGACTAAAAGTTTAAGAAAAGTATTGTTTTAAGAGGGGGAAAAAAATCAAATTCTAACCTTGCACCAGCTTACTTTTGATATTAAAACTCATTCACTTACTTAAATTCATTTCAATCTTAGTCAACTTGACGATGCACAACTTTTTCCTCAGGGTTCTTCCTCCACAAACCTTCTATAACTTTCTCCTTACATTCAGAATTTGTCCAATGCCTTCTTTTTCCTTTTTTCCTAGTACTTTAGGACAAATTTGTCTTTGTTCACCAAACAAACATATTTCTGTTATTTACACCTTTTTTATTAATAACATATATCTCACTTTCCTCGAACATAAAGATGTTTTCTTTATTAAGTTTAGTAGCTTTAATTATGTATATTACTTAGAATTTTTAACCCATATAGACTTTAATTTTTAGTGAAAACTAAGAAGTAAGCAATTATGAACTTTTACTTTAGCATTCTGTGGATTGGCAAATTTATAAATGCTTTTTTTAATTTCTAGAAACCTGTTACTTCATAGTACAATCTTTTAATAAAATACAAGACATGTTTACTAATAGACCCAAACATTTTTTAGTTTCTCTGTAATAAAAGTAGGTAAATTTAGACATGTTTAGCAATTAATGTTTCAGTATTTTATCTTATTTGGAAATGATCTAGACACTCAATGAATTTTTTATCATTTAATTTATCCCAGCAAAACTTCAAAGTTTTAAGTTACCAAAGAGATTTTGGAAGCTATTTTCAGTACACGTCATAAACTATAATTATTGCTAAAAGTTTATCTATGACTCTTGTCTCACATTTAAATCATTTGATCCCAACAATTATGTTCAGATTACCCACAAAAACTTCATGAGACATTAGACAAAATCAGCTATTATTTAAAGCTATTATTTTGCTGACAAATTTTTTAAATTGATAGCATGAGCTTATTTGACTAGCAAAGCCAAGCTGCATGTCTGCATCATATCCAATGCTGATAACTCTGAGGACATGTCTATTTTAATCAAACCAACAAACTTAAACAAGCTTTCATTCACCAAAGATTATTTCATATTACGTTAACTTGAAAGACATTTGGGTTAGCTTCTTTTACATTTAGAAATAATTTATGTAAGCACTTACTTTAAGCCAATTAAACAGAGCTCTTAATTTTGTCCATACCATCCAGAGGTAGAATATCACATATATGTAACATACATGTAGACACACATACACAAAGACTCCACAGCTATTGTTTTAAAAATTTAGGACAACGTATCACACCTTTAAAAGTCTGCACAAAGCATTTAACAAAGGCCCATTTTTCTAAGTGTGCAGTTCAACCCCAGACCAATTTACCTTGCAGGGGGGAGCCCCCATTATCTTCTTTATTAGCACCCGATATTAGCCTCCAGCCTTTATTTCACACTGTGTGAGATCAAGCAACCCTATTGACTTCCCTTTAGCATGTTTAATTAACATTGTCTGAAGGGCAGATTTATATGCTGTCTTACAATCAGGCAGGGGAAACAGTCCCCTGTGAGACCAATGTCTACCTGCACAGTTTAATCAGGCAAAAAGAGATGTAATCATTTCACATAAAGCCCATAAATATATCAATTTTTCTACATAAGTTCATCTGAATTCCACCAACTCTTATACCTCTAATCATAGTTTCCATTAGGACTTTAACAACAGGTCTTGATCTTACAATATTGGATAGGGAAGCATTCCCAGTCAAACATTTTTAAAATATACTCAGGCAAAGTTGATATAACCACTTTACGTAATATTAGCTCAAACATTCCAACCTTTATAACCTTATCAATACTTACACTTTTACATTTTCTCAATGTAATTGTAGCCTGAGTCAGGGTCTTAAGGCTGGCCATTATTTTTTATTTCTTTTTTTTTAATTTGGCCTTTTCATAAGTACCAATAAAATAATTATCAGAGCTCTCAAAAAAATTTTTTTTTCCAATTTAGCAGTTTTTCTGATTTAACTGATCCATCGTCTGGCCACATTGATGAGTAGGATCTTAATAGCAACTCAAGCCAGTAAGCCTTTTACAGATTAGCCATGGATGCAAGAGGTGTCCCCAAAAGAGAGTGCAAAAGAAGCAGCCCTCACAATATCCAAAAAGTTCACTCCCCAAAAATAGTCTAAGAAAGTAAAGGTCTTTGTTGCACAGGCAGAGTGAACAAGAAATGAAGGTTGAAATGACAAATGCCCCTTATGAAAGCAATTGGGAATCCTTATGAAAAACTCCCCTGAGAGCTGACACAGCCAGACAAAGAGAGTGAGACTCATAATCTCAGTCTATTCAACTGGCCGCCAAGATGTGTGCCAGTATATGCATCCTCCAGATGGTGGAGACCAGAAAGGTCACAAAGCCAAGATGATCTCAAGACATAGAATAAGAAAAAAGAAAAAACTTCATCCGGACAAGCCCAGACAACAGGCTTATAGAAATGCCTGTATCTTGCTCTATGGTTTTTCCTTTTTATGACAAATGACACAAAAGACAGAACAAGGAAAAATAGTAACCATATCTGGGAGGAAAATGATCAATAAACCAATGAGTACTCAAACCAAATTTCCTAGAGTCGTTGAGTCCAAGAAGCTAGCTTCACCAATATTTTCTCTTGCTAATCTAAACTTAGAAAAGGAAACAAAACTCACCACTCTCACTTCCACTGGACCCTGCAGGTAGAGATCTGGGAGACTGAGATGGTAAGAACAATTACCTCTTGCCAGCTCTTGTCAGGAGTCCAGGATCTCTCAGCTGCAGTAGTTCCAGGAGTGAGCAGCATCCAGCCAGTTAAGTTGTATCCCATCCAAGTCACTAAACTTTAGGAGAGGAAGACAATTCCTTTACCCTCTAGGTCCTTCTGCCTGGGGTCTAAGAATTAAATTCACATGAGACAGAATAACAAGAGAAAATCAAACAAAGTTTAATAACATGTATTCATGGGAGAAACCCAGGAAACTGAGTAACTCACCAGAATGGCTGAAGCCACCACCTTAAATACCATCTTCAGCTAAAGACAAAGGAGGATGTTAGGGGCAGTGGTTTGGGACTTCAAAGAGGAGGGAGGCAATTCACATGGAAATGGAAAAGCAAATGTTTGGTAAACAGAACCATTATAAGAATGGGCTTAGCAAGGACCCTCACAGTCTACCTGTACCCAGAATTTTTTATGGTGAATTTATACTACCTAAAAGAATTTAAGATAGTTAGTGGGGGAAGGTCAGAGTTTCTTTCAGATTCTCTTGTCCTTAACCAAAGAGACATATTTTTGGGGTGGCCAATTCTGATCCTCCACAGTGCCACTTTAAAACAAATCTTTTAAATTATATTTCTCTTTTTTCTTAACTTGCATTTGAGTATTTCATGATTTGTTTTATCAAATTACTTTATGGACACTGCTGTTTTAATTTTAAACAGTCAAGTAAATTTTAAGATCTGTTTTTTTAAAAATATTTAGACTATTCTAAGAATATAAAAATATTTACAAAAATTAATTATACTAAAAAATGGATAATAGCTCAATGGCTATTTAGGAAAATAACGATAGCCTGTCAGAATTCACATCTTTGTTGTCTTTTGTTTGTCTATGATGAATATTAAGAAGCAGGGACAAAGAAGAACAAACTTGACAATATGAATACATACACTTCCTCTTCCCACTGCTGATACTCTCAGTGAATATTATTCTGGGAATTCTAGCTAAATAGAAAATACTTCATCAATGTAAATATAAAGGCCATCAAAGAGAGGCACTTTACAATATTTTCAGGTTATTCATTCATTTAGTAGTTTTTGAGGCACTAGTCCAGGTGCTATGATCATCTATCTCATTATCCCAAAAAGATAAAGTAAAAACTTTTTTTGCATGTGGTTTTGCATTATGGGTTATATGATGGCAAGATATAAAATAAATACACAGACATAAATTGGTTTCCTATTAATATTCCAGCAAAATAACCAGTAAGAAAATAGAATGGGAAAAGATGCCATCACATTCTCCACAGCTCACTGCAGTTCTTCTCAAGGTGTAGACCACACGTCACCCACACCAGCATGGGGGAGGAGGGGTACAGTTTCCTGAGACCCATCCAAGACTTTCTAACTCAAAACCTCAGAACATAGGCCAAGGAATCTGAAATTATACAATTTTAAACAGACCATCAGGTAGTTCTTTTCTCTCTAAAGTTTGAGATTCCTTGATGTAGTAAATAAGATAAGATGAATTTGAGCAAATTATTAAATCTATTTAGGTTTCAGTTTAATTACCTGCAAAAAAGGAATAATGATAATACCTACATCATATGGCATTTTGGAAGAATAAATGAAATAATATAGGTGAGGGGTTTGAGACACTGCCTGGTGCTCAGTAAGTACTCAAGTGTTATTAGATATTAGTATTAAATATTGAAATAAGAATATAAAATGTGTAGAAATAATCTTAAGAATGAAGATTCAGGTCTTAAGTGAAGAAAACAACAAAAATGACTTAGAAATACTTTTTAAAATCATATATATTGAGAAGCATACTATGTTCCTACTGGGACAGAGGTGGATAAGAGAAGGAAAACGAAATATCATAAAGAGACCAATTTTTTCAAAGTTGATTTTAAAATTTCAAGTAGCTCTATACAAAATACAAAATAGACACTTTTCATAATCAGCAAAATGAAGCTAAGGGTCATCTTGAAGAACATGTAGTGTAGAAAAAATTATCCAATCCTCTCCTCACACACACACAAATTGCAGAAGGAAGCATATTAAGAACCACTTTCATTGCCAGACATCATAATATACAGTTACAATACCTTTAACAGTATAGTATCATTATCAAAATAGGCTGACACATCAATGAAACTGAAGAGAAAATATAGAAAATCTACCTAAGCACATGATATCTTAGAATATGATAGAATTGGTAGTTCAGATCCATGGGAATAATAGGAATTGTTTAACACATGGTAATTGGATTATTCTTTAAGTAATTAGAAAAAATAAGCTCACTTCAAAATGAATTAAAGAGTAAAATTAAACTATAAAAAAAGAAAAATTGGAGTATATAAAATAATTATGTGTTTGGAAGCATTCTGTATACTATATTTATAGAAACAATATATAAGATTAGTGAATTTAGGAGCCTATGCTTAATTAGTAAAATGTAAGAAGAAATATACAAGAAAAGAAGGAAGAGGTAAGTGGAATATTTATGATCTTTTTATCATGAGAAGATGAGCCACGAACATTCCATCAAGTGGAGAAAACATTGTGGCTAAGACTAAACTGCCTCAGCACCACTCATGGTTGCCTGGGTTACTGGATACTGTCACTGTGCTAATGATATAATAACGCAAAATTGCAAACAAATGATTAAAATGCAATAAATATTAATCAAGAAGGAAATGGCAAGTAGAGCTCCAGAGATTTCCATCAGTCAGACCATTGTGATAACCACACTGGCTCCACCGTCTACTATGGTGTCCAAATCTACTTTACATAACCTCTGCCTTAGGTAGGTTAGTGACTTGGCCTCTGCCATCCCAGCATGTTCCCATACATCCTGAAGACAGAGACCATTTTAATTTCACTAGAATCCGTAGCCAACAAGGATAGCATGAAAGCGCTCCCTTCCCCAATGTATGTTAGAGATATGCTCTATTCCAAACACTTTCATAATCATATCTATCTTTGAGAACAAAGCAGTGTTTTATGGACTCTCAGGGGACATAAATAAAGAGTGAGGAGGGAGGAGCACATGATAGAGGTACTCTAGTATATCCGTCTCCTAAAGGACAAATGATCTCTCCAATCAGTAAAGAGGTGCAAACTTTCTGGAAGTCAATTTGATGACAGACATCACCAATTTGTCAGTACGCATATGTTTTGACCTAGCAATTTCACTTTTTTTCCCCAAATTTTTTATTGTGGTAAAATACATATAACATAAAATTTACCATCTTAACCATTTTTAAGTATACAGTTCAGTGGTAGTAAATAGGTTAACATTTTGCAACCATTACTACCATCCATCTCCATAACTCTTTTCATCTTATAAAATTGAAAATCTATAATCATTGCACAATAGCTCCCCATTCCTCTTCCCCCCAGCCCCTGGTGACTACCATTCTACTTTTTATCTCTATGAATTTGATTACTCTAGGTAACTTATATAAGTGGAATCATACACTATTTGTCTTTTTGTGGCTGGCTTATCTCACTTAGCATAAGATCATTAAGGTTCATCCATGTTGTAGCATGTGTCCAAATTACCTTCCTTTTTAAGGTTGAATAATATGCTATTGTATGTATACCCCACACTTTGCTTATCCATTCATCTGTCAATGGACACTTGGGTTGCTTCCACATTTTAGCTATTGTGAATAATGTTACTATGAACATGGGTTTACAAATAGCTCTTTGAGGCCCTGTTTTCAATTCTTTTGGGTATATACCCAGAAAAGAAATTGCTGGATCATACAGAAATTCTATTTTTAATATTTTGGAAAACTGCCATACTGTTTTTCACAGTAGCTATACCATTTTACATACCAACTAATAGTGCACAAGTGTTCCAATTTCTCCACATCCTCATCGACACGTTTTCTGGTTTTTTTGATAGTAGCCATCCTAGTGGGCATGAGATTGTATTTCATTGTAGTTTTGATTTGCATTTCCCTAATGATTAGTGATGTTCAGCATCTTCTCATGTTTTTATTGGTTATTTGTATACTTTTTTGGAGAAATGTCTATTCAATTCTATTGCCCATTTTTGAATCAGGTTGTTTCTTTTTTGGTGTTGAGTTTTAGAAGTTCTTTATATATTCTGGATATTAATCCCTCATCAAAATCATAATTGGCAAATATTTTCTCCTATTTTGTGGATTGCCTTTTTACTCTGTTGATGACAATGTTTTAAAATTTTCAATAGATTCAACTTGTCTGTTTTTTCATTTCTTACCTGTGCCTTTGGTATCGTATCCAAGAAATCATTGTCAAATCCAATGTCCTGAAGCTTTTATGTTATGTATTATTCTGAGA